TCTTTTTTTTTTTTTGCAATAAAAACAACACAATGAGCCCTCTGGTCACACTAAAATGTTGCATTGTGCCCTTGTATGCATTTGTAACAGTTTAATTCTATAAAGACTAAATATGTCTGGTGGTCCAGCTCTGGTTTACATATTTTGCTAAATTGCAGGTTTGAGTATTGTAATACTTTCCTAAAATAAAATAGACCTGCAGAAAGAAATTACTAATAAAATATTTTACATATGCATAGTTCTATGTTCTATGTAGAGATTTTCCTTTGCTCTGATTGTATGTCTCACAATTTTTTAAATTTATCATTGTTCATTAAACTCTGAAAGCTATGTGACTTTGTTAATATTCTGTCCTAAAATGTGATTAGATGTGCCCTTTTTTTTGAGCACCTGCCCCTTTAGTGGTCTCTGCACAGCCCTGCCTTAAGGGGCTGGTTTTTTTTCTTATTTCTTGGCTGGAAGTCGATAAAGGAGCGGGAAAAAACGCTCTCAGTGATGCAACACTGCCCCCCAGGAATAATCTGGTGAACTGCCCCAGCACCTGCTGCACACCTGGATTTCTCCATGTTGATATCAATAAAGTCTTCTTCTTCTTCTTCTTCTTCTTTTTCTTCTTCTGGACGGACCACCAACCTGTCAGATTTCAAAACCTCAAAACCTCTGACAGCTTATTACTTTAACCCTTCCCAACTCTGCCATCTAAAGTCGTACAAGATAGAAGGAATTATAGACCTGTTAAATACTTTATGCTTTGGTTTCCATTTGTTCTGATACAAGGAAACAAATTCTTACCAGGAGCTGGAGGTCAAATACCTCAAAATATATCATCTTTTCTCATCTTGTAAGGCCTTGTGTGTATTGTAAATGTATTTAGATATATGTGTAAAGGTCCATGTGTACAATATTCACAACCCTCTGCATAAATTGCACAACTATGGACAAGTTGGACTCTTAGACTTTGGTCAATTTATATCTCTACCTGGTGGGAAACTACTCTTTCCATTTTTAATTCTCTTATTGGAAGTATGTGCATAATTTGCCTACGTCTTAGTCACTACTGTGGCTGGGCAGTCATAGAAGTATTAAAAAATTAACTTTTTATTTGATTTGATTTAGATAGAAAACAAAACAGGTTCTAAAAAAATGTTAAAACATTTTTAATGCCTTTCAGAGTAGAAACAAATCCATTCGTATGAAAGCATAAATCTTTGCAGGATACTACAGTAATATTTTTTTTATCTTAGTTTCCTTCCGTCTGTATGGGAAAAAATTTAAAGTTAGAAAGAGACTTGAAGGAAACAAGTCTCTTTATAACTGTAAGAGGCAGGGATCCCACTGGAGACGTCAGACCAGAAAACTATACAAAATATTTTACAATTTACCAGTATTGTGCGACCAGAAAATGTATACTCTGGTGCATGACTTGATACTAGACACTTTCACAGAAAAAAACAAATAAAGAGGACCTCTTAATGACATTGGTATCAATCGTGGATTTAATTTCATTCCTATTTCAAATTGACTTAAACCTTCTTATTGAATCTGAATTGCTTTTAAACTTGTACTTTTAATTTTACAAAAATCAAACAACTCCAACACCAGAACACCCGTAAAACACGCTTTTATGTCAACATACATGACATCAATTTTCCCCAAACAACTCACAGTTATGAACATTTCCTGTGAGGAACTTTGAGGAAGCTCTGCTCAGCCAATCAGAGGAGACATGCCTTATATGGGGGGTCAAAGTACTTTTCAATGAGCTATTAGGCAAAGACATCAGTGTGTGGATCGATCACTCGATGGCCTTTAAGTGCTGAGACACTGATGATGTCAGTCTGATTGATAGGCCTTTGTTTCCTGCTTTAATCCGATTGGTGGGTGGAAATAAATCCGGCGAGTTTGCTCTCTAAAACTGATTAAACTAACAGAAAGACGAGCCTTTAGAGACCAGATGGACTGTACAAGTTTTTAAAGGTTTAAGGGTCACGGAAACAAAACGATTTGAGGTTTATCAACACGATATGAAACATTTAGCAGCATAATGTCTTTTTAAACCTCTTTATGTAACGGCAGGAGAACAGAAGTAGATTCTAATATCTATTTAAGCAAATTCAAACAGGTATGTTCATATAGTATAAAAAGGCAAAACAGAGTTTTTCCAAAGAAAACTCCTATCTCCCAGCTAATGACTAAAACTAAACTAAAACTTTAAATTATTACCATGTAGTCCTGAGTACTGATTCAGCACATTAGACATATTATACCCTAAAATGCCTAAAAACCCCAGGAATAATATGGATTACTTCATCTGATTAATTCTAAATGTGTCACTTCATCGTTCCCTCTCTTATCACTGTGTGTTCATATTGTTTCTATTGTAAACGAGTTATAGCCTTTGGTTTTGTGCTTGCTAAGTGGCCTTTAAGCATCCGGTTAATAATTGAAGAAAAGGAACAAAAGATGGTGTCAAAGTGCTGACTGACCTCATTACACATCCATCCAGTGCAAGTGGATAGAGATCCTCCACCTACCGCCATTGCTCTAACTTGATTTTGCCTTTTAAATCTACAACATGTGAGTCATTGTTTATACATAGCAACGATTAGAAATATAGAGACAAAGATCATAAGATTTCTGAACTCAAACACATGATGTCTGCAAAAGCTGCTGATGAAAATGAGTCCTCATTAAACTTTTGTTCCAATAATCAATGTTTTTTTCTTTCATATTCTCACACTGACTTTAATAATCCCTAACCATCTATAATATGGTAATAATGCAGTTTACTGAAGATCTGTGTGTGTTTTAGGCCTCAGAAATGATGCAAACCTGCTGTTTCTGGATTGTTACTAGTTGTTGAAATTCATTTAAACTTATATTTTCTCCAGGAAACTGGTTTCTAAAAGAAATGGTCAACATCCCATAATGCTACGCGTGTTCTGGGAATACAGTTTTCTGCTTTCTGTAAGAAGAAGGTAATATGTGGTTCGGTGCTTCCCATCATCCCCTCCCTCCCACCCACAATCTTTTGTGGCCGACTAATAAGTTGAAATCATCATGTTGGAACACACAGGAAGTCATGAAGCTGATGGGTCGATAGTAAAGTAAAGAAGATGTGATATTTACACAGATTTTGGCCTTTACACAGAAAAAAATATGTTTTGTTCTGTGGATCTTCGGCTGTTATTTTACAATCTTTCACGAGCTGAAGTCGATTAAATTGATTTATTTCCTTTTTTTCTTTAAACTGCTGCAACATTTCCCGATTTCCTGATTTTTTAGTAGATTTTTGTGAAGTTTTCATTCTAAAAGGTTTGATTAATCGATAAGTGTGGGTTCAAAATGGGTTCAAACGGAAAACATAAAACATCTAAAGGTCTTTTAGCCATATCTAAACTGTAAATCTCACATTTTCCTCACGAGCATGATGAGCACCGTGTATTTTAAAATGTTAAATAAAGAGACAGATTATACAAAAGCAGGTCATCTGACCTAACAATTACTACAATTCATCAGAGAAAGAAGTCTCTTTGACAGTCTGTTTAGATTCAGAAAGAAAAAGCCCAGCTCCTACAAGCGGACATTTTTTGGTGGAGATGAGACCAAATTAAAGCTTTTTTAAAGCTTTTTCATCTGCTGATAGTCGTTATTTTTATTTTGTCTGAAACAAAAAATGTTAGATATTAATCAGAATCAGAAATACTTTAATTATCGCAGAAGGATATTATTTATTAATAAGACATTCACACAAGTGACACTAAATTACACCTTGGCAACTTTTCTATGTCTTCTTAATTTGGAGTTTTCTTTTTCCTGCTTTATTGGAGCTTTGTGATGTTTCTTAAGAGGTATCTGTTGTCGTAAGTCCTCTTTGGTTTTGCTCATTTTGAATTGTTATCTTTTCCTTAAAGGAGCTTTTTGTCTCTTTTTGCTTTTAATCTGAGTGTTTCACACCCGTTCATCCTGAAATTTGGGTCCAGGCCGTTTAGAAGAACCGGGAAACTTAACATCTTCTCAGAAGTTACTGTGTACAGTAGTGAGTGTTTATACAGGACCGATCGATGGGTACCAGAAATGTTTAGTTGTGGTTATAGGTTACAGAGTATATGTACTAATTCATTTCAGTTCCACATCCTCATTTCTTAGTATTCCATGTTTTTTTTCAAATCTATTTGGACTTGAGTGAAAATGTATTGATGTTTGTATTTGTTTTTAAGTAGATTTGAGGTTAGAAACGGTTTATTGATGAAGAAAAGCTATAGATCATTTCTCAAAAGGGATCAAGAAACGCATTTGAGCCAGAAGTTTAATTGAGTTATGGACCATTAGAGACACACAATGAGAGACTAAAAGGGAAAAATTAACTTTTACTCATCAAAACATCACAATTTATTAAGTTTACTTACATTTTTTTATCCATTATTACAGAAATGTCCTCTTTTTTCACTATACTGAACTTGACTTTAAATTATTTCTTGTTTTCCAATAAATAGACATTTTCTATATTTTCTTAAACAAGATCTTACTAAATCTATGAAAAAAATATATGGGAAAAGTTCTTAATATACAACAAAACCCTGCGATTAATGCCTATCCCTTTTTGTTCAAATGTTTTATTTAGAGACACCTGAAAATAAAATTTGGAAAGTTAAAATCTGGTTAAAGTCACTAACACAAGAGGAGAAAAAAAAACAGCTCCTCCCACCTTACAGCATTATTACACTTACAGCATTTAGATCAAACCACTTTCATTTTTTAAAGGAACTTGGGTAATTATGCTTTGGGATTTTGTCACTTCAAACCTTTCAGACCCCATTTGTTCATTTTGTCAGGTTTTGTAGCTTCACATTTAAAGCCAAATTTCCAGTTTATTGCCAACATGTCATTAAAGTGTTCCTTTGAGTCATCTCAAAATAGGTTTTCTGGACATTAAACAGGCTACAAAGGCTTAAACTGGTAAGTTTTAGCATGTGTGCAACCATTGAGCACCTTAAACTTATCTACGTCTGTTTTAAGTCCACTTTTTTGACATGGACTTTAAACATTCAGGACATATCTGGACCATTTACAATTTTAGCTGCAACAGAACCAGCTAATATTGCTGTGGCCTTACCAGCTAGCACAAACTTATGAGATGTACACTAGTCTCTGTAGAGACATGAACTCTGACCATATTTACGAGTGTTTTTGACCAAGTCAAACATTTAGTCCTCAGAATTAGCTAAACCTGGCAGTTTTATCCTTTCGAGACCTTAAAATGTAAAACACTGATATCTGGTTTAGGCAGGTTAAAGATCGAGGAATCCCAGACTTATTGTAACAAAACCTTTATTATCCTTTAGATTCAGATGTCCGTGGCTCTGCTCAGCCTTTGCGTGATCCACCTGGAAGACAAAAGCAAGTTTGAGTGACTCGAGTCTACACTTTTGAACAGGATTGTGGTAAATTCAAAGTATTACCACAGTTGTAGAGGATGTTCAGCTTCTGGATGTCCAGCTGGCTCAGACCTTTTCTCTGACCGATCTGCACGCCGCTCTGTTTGGGCTCCAGAGTTTGGCCTCCGTCCACGCTGAAATAAGCCCTGAAAACAACTCCAGCTGAGAAAAATCACAAAGAACGGGCGAGTGGAGCTCAAATTAACCCAGAAGGTGTCGAACAGCTTACGGCCCGTAGTGCAAGATGGAGCCAAAGTCGTAGGGCGAGTTGAGGGTGTTTCCATTCTTCACTTTGAAGTTGTCTTTTTTGCCTAAAAGAGCAAAGACAGCAAAGTTGAAGATACAGGAAACTTAACCCTGTAATGCCAAATATATCGTATTTGATTCATACGGTTTCTGAAATGTTTTGCGTCTGACACCTTTTGCATAATTTAATGGTAAAAAAAGTGCTCAAAATCCTATTTTACACAATCAGATACACCTGATAACAGGGGAAAGAAGACTACACAAAAAATAATCTTGACTTATCGCATAGTAATGAATTAATATAAAAAAATAAAAAAAAGTACTTATTTTGTTAAAAGGCCAAATAAGGAATTCAAACCAAAAAAAGTCATTTTCTGTTTTGTTTTATTCTTGGATCAACATGCAGATTTAGTGGATGTGAGACCAGTGGGGATTTTGGGTTTAAAACACTAAGTCAGACCCATGGGAAGCAGTCAAAACTATACGTTGGTGTGGTCTTCTACTGGCTGTTATCAGGTATATTCTGAATGTGTACAACAGGGGTTTGAGCAAAGCTTTTACCACTGAATGATGCAAAAAGTCTCAGATCCAAAAGACTTCAGAAACCGTATGAATCAAATATGATACATTTGGCATTATAGGGTTAAACCAGTCTGATTTAAAGCAGCCTCATCCAGTGACAATTAAAATCAAACACAAACAGCAAAACTGGAAAATATCTCTGTACGTTTTTCTGTGATGAATCAAATATAAGTTTGAGTGAATATCAACAACTAAAAACAATCCAGAAACAGCAGGTTGGCATCATTTCTGAGGCCTAAAACACACACAGAACTTCAGTAAACTGCAGTCAGTTCATCGGGTTGAAACATGCAGATTTAAGTGGATGTGAGACCAGTGGGGATTTTTGGTTTAAAACACTAAATCAGACCCATGGGAAGCAGTCAAAACTATACATTGGTGTAGTCTTCTACTGGCTGTTATCAGGTATATCTGAATGTGTACAACAGGGGTTTGAGCAAAGCTTTTACCACCGAATGATGCAAAAAGTCTCAGATCCAAAAGACTTCAGAAACCGTCTGAATCAAATATGACACATTTGGCATTATAGGGTTAAAGTCAGTTCATCGGGTTGAAACGTGCAGATTTAAGTTGATGTGAGACCAGTGGGGATTTTTGGTTTAAAACACAAATAGACCCGTTGGAAGCAGCATTTACTTGGGCTGATGTGGGGCCAGTTGACGGTGACGTAGTCGTCGCGGTCCTTCCTGGTGTGTTCGTGGTACAAACCCAAAGCGTGCAGCAGTTCGTGGGCCAGGTTCCCCGCCGAGCAGGACTCAGAAAAATACACCGGCTGGGACCCCCCCCGGCAGCCAATAAACGACGCACAGCTGGAGACATTTCAAAGAGTCAAGAGGGGTGGAAATGTTCCACGTTATTACGATTGGAGCAGATTAATCCAAGCATGCAACTACAGCGCATTTATTCACTCAAATCAAGATTTTAAATGACAATTTCTCTTAGAATTTCTCACTTTAAGTCATAAAAGGGCTTCTATCCAGAGTTTAAGAGGTGGAAATGAGTCATTATCAGCTTTACACTGTCTCCATTTTCAAGATTAATGCATTTTGTTTAGAGAGTTTGAGTCAAATTTCTGCAACGAGTTCGCTCAAAATCCTGAATCTTAAATAAGGAATCCAACCCGTTGCCATCTTTGATTTCCAGGTAGTTGAACTCAGCGGCGTGCGGCTGAAAGCGAATGCACGTCGACCCCGAGATCATCCTGAAGGCCGCCTGGATCTCAGACCCTCGGTGAGCTGCTCAGGGCAAAAAGTAGACGACTAGTACGGATGTTTAAAAAGCAGTAAGATGAATGGAAGATGCAAAAACCTACCGAGTTCTGGGCTGATTACGTAAGGGATTACGCCACCTGACCACACCGAGTCCACAGCGTTTCTGTCCTGCTGTTGAGTTTCATTTAAACAGAGAGTCAGATAATCCAGACGGCCAACTGAGAAATGAGGTGAGCTCATTTAGAAAGTCTCAGTTAAAAAGGACATGTCAGAGACATGCCATGAAAATTCACTTTCCAGTCATTGAAAAAAATAAATAAGAAAAGACCCATTTAACTTACTGCCAACAAAATATCTCCTTCATCTAGCCCCAGATAGCCATGCAAGTCTATGACAGGAGAGCAGATTTAACCAATTATTCATTTAATTATTGTTTTTAAAGTTAGCCACGTCAAGCCACAGGATTTATGGAATAAATTTAAAGAAAAATAAATATACCTGCTAAGGTTTCTGCACTTTCATTTAAGACGGGATGCTTGGATGCTGCACCAAGAAAACAAAATAAAAATGATATCTAGAATTAAGCCTCCATAAAGAGCTACTCAAGAGCAATTAGAACCAACCTGGGGAAGTGGTAGTTTCATTCTGGGTGGTGTTTGAAGAGCTGCCACCAACTTAAAAAAAAAATATATATATATATACATACATATATTCCACTTTTACTTCATTATTACCAGAAGTTATTCAACATAAAACTTCTGAAACCTACCTTTGGTCCCAGTTGCATTCAGCTGGAGAACAGCATCAACTGTGGTAGCGTTACCTATAGGCCAAATAAAGAGGTATCATCATGGTGGTTTACTGTAAAAAGTAGAGTTAAAGGTTACCACACCAACCTGAGGCAGAGGAAGCCGCTCCATTCTTTATCTCAACAGGAACACCTGCAACTACACAGAGATTTTTAGCAACACAACATCAGAGGAAAACAGAAACACAAATGAGCAAATCTGTACCTGCTGACACGCAACAGAAAACCAGAAACCACATCATAAAACTCAGCACCATTATGCTCGCTACAACTAAAAACCAAAAAGGACACTCAGATGTCTTTGACTTAAAAATAGGAACTCTGCTGGGAGGCAGCAGGTGAGAGCGGTTTCTCTAATTGAGGCCCTCTGATTTAAACCTGGGGCTGATGGGACATTTCCTGTGCTGAGGAAACTGAGGGTTTGTGCAGATTTCAGTGCAAAGGCATGTTGGGAAATAATTGATTCTGGGTTTTAAGCTAAACAGACATAAACTGATATGATATAAGGGGAAAATATGAAAAAATCTGTCACTTTTTAGGCTCATAAATGTGAACTAATAAGCACAGGCTTCTTCTGCCTCAAGGGCTTTTGCAGTGAGTCAGGATGACCACTGGATGGAGCTAAAGAGCAAATAATAAAAGGAAATACCCATTGATCTGCATGGAAACTAATAAACATAATCTGTTACATAATCTGTTCAGATATATAGTTTTGGTTTTGAGTGACTGGTTTTGAGTCGCAATTATATGAAAAAAATCCAGGGATATTGTTTTCATTTTTTCTGATAGCAAGCCCAGTAAATAAAAATACTACAACAGTATGAAGTCTTAGTTAAAAAAATAAAAATAAAATACTAATCCAGCAAAGGAAGGCGGAGAATATATGAGTAAATAAAGAGGAAAACCTGAGCCTGACCACAGAGTACACACACGCTCACTTCCTTCTCGCACAACACAAATAACAGATATACTGTACTGTACTTAAAGTCCCTATGAAACACAGAAATAGTTCTCCAGACCTACTGAAGAACACCACAAAGCTCTTGTTTGTATATTGGCAGCCTTTTGTTCTGTCCTCTGAATGTTACACATTTTAATGATTGAAATTAGTCACTTATTCCAATCATTTGAAATTAGTCACATACAGAACTGGGGTAAAAAATGAACGAATATCCAAAAAATGTTTAGACAAAAAGAAATTGAGGAGAGGGTTTAGACATTTTAACATTAATTTCTTTCTTTACTCTGACTAGTTTGTTATTGAAGTAGGCCTGTACAACAGTATGTACATTAAATTAAAGCAAACCTGTGTTTTATCAAAGATTTAAGACAGTTTGCATTTGGGTAGATTTTATTCATGGCTGAAACAAGTTGGGAAAACAAATAATTTTATCAAAAATTACGCGTTCAAATAATACAACGAAAACATTATACCTGGTGACGATTGCAGTTGTTTATGGAATCAGAGTTTCCGACGGACTTTGAACGCCTCACCCCCCAAGCATCGTGAGAATCATGTGACGTCCTGTCATGTGATGCATTCACTTCCTACCGATCCGGGTCAGAGCTGGTGCACTCTGCTGTATCATGTCGTCTTAGTCGGGCTTAGTCCACAGACCGGATCCAACTCAAACAAAAATGCCATTTTTTAAGGATAAACCCACCGGGATAAACCGCCTGGAGCTGTTTCTGGGGCTCGTGGCGTGTTTGGGATGCCTGTCGGTCCGATGCTCGGTGGCGGAGGGGGACGCCGGTCCGTGGTACCAGGACCTCTGCAGGTAACCAACACACCTCCTGGGCAGAAACCCCGCAGTTAAGAGCAAATGGAGAGGGGAGAAAAGCGGAAAAAACATCAAAGAATTGAACCGCTCGTGCTAACTGGCGCGAGCCCACGCAGCTGTTGGTCAGCTGGGGCCAAATTGCTCGTTTTCCAGACACGCTCGTGTGCTATCACGCGACCTTTGGCATTTCCCTCCAGCTGAAATCAGCCAGAAAACACTTACGGCTCTTTGTTTCATTCACACCGTCACCTTTCAGCCCCGAGCTCCGGTCCAACGGAACCGCTCCCACCGGTGCTAGCTAGCTAAATAGCTAGCTAACTTACATAGCTATAACGGCCATGAAAGTAGTTTTGGGTCTAAAAAGCGAGCTTCCTGGTAGCTTTCAATGCCCAAACCTAAATATGAGGCAATTAGCTATGACTCAGAGCCACATTGTGTCGGTAAAGTTTTTTATTGAACGAATTGTTTTCATCATGCTAAGAGTAAACAAAGCTAAATGCTAACGTTACACAAAACTGTCATGTGTCGTTGTCGGTATGTTGTTGACAGCCTACTTCAATTCGTCACACAAGACTCAATATGAGTCTAAATAACAGCTGGATATCTGTCTGAAATAGTTACATGTGCTGTTTAAACTCCTCCACTGTTCAAATATTGACTCAGCACCAACCCAGAAACGCCTCCAGTTTAATACTTTTTTATTTCCCTGCCATTACATTTGGACTAAGAGCAGATCTAACAGAACTGTGTCGATGCTTAAGCAGCTTGTTGTTCAGTGGAGATGATTTGGTATTCAAATGATCTACTTAAAAAAGAGCTGCTTCCCCATGCTGGGAAATTGAAAGTACAATTGAAGTAATTTAATGGAAATGGAGTCTCAGATCAAAGGTAAACTAAAGAGGGAAGTGGAGCACGTGACCTGCTCTGAGCTCATTTGTAAACATGATCAGGTAGACTCTCCTTATTGTTTTTATAATGTAAAGCAGGAAAAACTGTTACTTCAGATGAAACCTGTAAATAAGTCAAAGCAGCATTTGTAAATTGCTTATTCTGAGTTGTAGAAACCATGAAAATCTCAGGATTTTCTGGGTGAAATTGATATGATTGCCTTCTTTTCTAGCTTTCCTTTGATGTTTATTAATCTGAAATACTTCATATATTCTGTTTCAGTTATGGGAATGAACAAAAAATTGCCATTAAAACAAGACGTGTGTGTGCTTCCACTGTAATATTTCAGCTCAGACATATATATTAATGTGAGACATCATCATGGCTGTAAAATGATAAGTCGTTTAATCAAATAACCAACTTGTCTGACAGCACTTGTTGCTGTTTGGAGACTCTCAGGTTTCAGTATTTGATCCTTTTTTACTTTTGCTCAACCCAAACCGGGAGATTCTGATGCCCGCTTTCTGTTTGACTGCTGTGAAATTAAAAAAAATGACTGTCTGCTCTGAGTTTGATCTAAAACCGCTGCTTTTTCTTTTTGTCTTGCAGTTATAAATGGGAGGCCATAGACCAAGATAACAAAGTGAAATACACCCTGAAGCTGTGCGAGTCCTCGCCGTCCACCAGCTGTGGGCCCGCCACCGCCGTGTGTGCTCTGGACCTGCTCAGCAAGGTGGAGCAGCCAGTCGGTGAGCCCTACGCCTTTTAATAATAATAATAATATTAATAATAATAATAATAATAATAAATCTAATTTAAAAAGCGCCTTTCATGCCACTCAAGGACACTTTAAAAAGGCTACCATCATTAGAACAACATTGAAACATAAGCAAACATACAAAGTAGACTTAGACTTAGACTTAGACTTCCTTTATTGTCGTTGTACAAAAAACACAAGGTGGATCTTGACAACAAAATGTCGATTACTTGGCTACCGGTGTAACAGAGCTAAGACCTTATTCCTACACAATAAATATGTTTTCTGTAACTGAGAGCTAGATATATACAGGGTATATATAATTCTTAAATACATCATAAATAAATACATCATAAATTAATTAAATCAAAATGGATTGACTCAAACTGGGCAGAATGAGGGGAATGTCAGAGTTACGGGCGGTGAGGTGGGTCAGATATTTTAAACAGGTGGGTTTTGAGTTTTGTTTTGAAAAGAGGGAGAGAGTCGGTGTTTAGGATGTCAGATGGGAAAGATACCGGCCGGCCTCCTTCTGACGCGGTCAGATATGTCCGAACATGGAGGACCAGAACGGGAAAACTGAGCAGCTCGTTTCAGGAGGTGGTTTTTAGATGTGGGACCCAGTTCAGATGACATTTTGGACCTTTCGAACTAGGGATGTCCCGGTCCAGCTTTTTAACTTCCGATCCGATCCCGGCCTATCGGAGCATGTACTAAAGTTTAGAGTTATTTATCTAATTAATAGTTGTCAGACGCACTTTAAACAGGGATTTGCTCTGATAACAACTAGCCATCTGAATTAGGGGACTTTGAATAACACACAGTGGTTGGTAAAGAGAAACTGACCTGTTTGTTCAGGGATGAACACAAAACAGACAAAATTATAAATAACAAACGGAAATGGCATCAGTGAACAGAAAAAAGTGCAAATGATAACGAAACTGTATTAAAAAAGAAAAACACATAAACAACCTGAATAGAGAATAGTCTATTAACTCAGCATCAGTAATGGATTATTTTAGTCTGGAAAACACGGAATAAAATAGATCTGGAAGTCTGGATCAGCATTTTCTCCTGTCGGCCAATACGCATTTTTTCCCAACTTTTACTCTCTGTCTGGATTAAATGAGGCCTGTTTGAATTTGAAATGTCCAGGTCACAATCAGCCGATAGAAACAAAGTAAATTCCCTCTTTCTTTCCCGGTGTGAGTTCCTGAAGCCAGTGGTCAGAGCAGGAAGCATCTCCAGGCAGGAACAATGAGACATTGTTGAGGGTTTCTGCGTTCGCACGGCGTGTAAACAGTGGCTGCTTCATGCTTATTTCTGCTCTCCTCTTCTGGGTTAACATCTCAGGCCGTCACAGACACAAACAAACCTCTTTAGGGACGAATTACCTGCCTCATTCTGCAGTTTTTGGCGCTTTAATAAGATTTCTTCCTGTCTGGCTTCTGTTCAGGAAAGTCACACTGTAGTAATAACTCAGTAATGATGCCTCTATATCAGCCTTGGGTTGTTTTTTATTTTATTTTGTCCTCAGTGTTCTTTTCTAATGTAAATTATTTTGTCTGGAAATATGCAGGAAAACAAAAACAAAGGCATGGAAATTCTCTAAAACTCAAGGAAAAGTATTCAGATTCCATGATTTATTTCAGCCAAGGACTGAAACAGTGAGGATAAGACGGTGGGATCGTGGATCTTGGGTGTGCTTTTTTTTAGGGTTTTTCTTTTTGGCCGTGGATGTTGAACCGCCTGGGGCTTTTCGGAGAGTTAGCCACGCAGTTAATCCGCCCTTTTACCTGGGAATAAACGGCCCTCTCAGAGGCTGAGGAGGAAAATGCTGCAGCTGTGCTGACAGCAGGAGGTTTGGATGCTAATCGAACTGACGTTGTGCTTCATCAGAGCTCTGATCTCTGTGCTGATCAGGCTGAATCTCCCGCTGTGTGTGTGTGTGTGTTAGCGTGTGTGTGTGTGTGTGTGTGTGAGTTAGTGTGTGTGTGTGTGTGTGTGTGTTAGCGTGTCAGCAGGATCTTCATCTCAGTACTCAAAGGCCTCTTAAATCCAAGCTCTATTCTGTTCTATAAAACATTAAACACCGCTGACAACATTTCTCATTAAATTGAAACATTAAAAACAGGGGCAAATTAATATCAACTCTCTTAAAAGGCTTTTAGCTCCAAATGGGAGCTTGTGTATTCCGGGTTTGAATGACAAACGTTAAAATCCGTCTGCCTGCCGGGTCAATATAAGAAGATTTGTCAGCCAAATTAAGGAGACAACATCTCAGATAGAGAGTCTGTGTATGTATGGACTTCTTGATACTAGAATAGAATAGATTCTTTAACACTTTTTGCCACTTTATCAACATTTCTAATGAGCTTTTGGCCTGTCAAATCCTCAGTTTATAAAAAAAAAAGGCCAAACACTGACCTAAATTGTAAAGGCCGGTTACAGGTGGGATTGAACCTTTCCTAATTATTCAGCCCTCACCTTATTACACTGAATAGTCTCTTTTTGTTTATCATTTCCACATAAAAACATTCTCAGCTGCATGTTTATTTCCCCCAGAGGCTGAAATCCTTTGACCTTTAACCCCTCAGTAAAGATTTGTTTAACCTGGGGCTCAAAAGACACATTCATGTTCAGATTTCTGAGTTAAAAGACTGGTTAAATAATGGATTTATGGATGGAGGTGAAGCGTCTTGCTGCTTTGTTGAACAGCTTTTGTTGTTCAAATGTATCCTGATGTTTTTCACTTCTCATCACAGAAATGGGATCATATGGGGAACGTCACGGGTCTCTTCTGTCTCTGAACTTCCTCAGTTTACTGTAATTTATTTTTAGCGATTTCTCAACTTCAGCCTGGTTTAAGCGGCCGAGTGTCTTCACCGCTCTGTAAAACTCAAAAAGTTGAACAGGAGCTGCTGAGTCGGCGCTTAGTCACGCCGGCTGATTTCTCACATGACCCATGAACGCACCACCAGTGTCACGTCTGGTGTCTCGTCATGTCTTGATTACCTGTTGTGTACACCTGGGGTTCCCCTCCCTCATGTGTTTAAATAGTCCTCGTTTCCCATGTCCTGGGCCAGTGCGTTTTCGTCCTTTTTGGTCTTTCGTCTTTCTGTTTTCGTCACCCCATGTTCAGGTTTGATTTTGTCACAGCCTTGTTCACTTTACTGCCATACTCTTGTTTTGAACCATAGCCACAGTTTTCGTCATAGCCATGTTTTGTCAGAGTTTTGTCAGTCCAGGTTTGATTTTTGCCACGGTCTTATTTACTTTGTTCCATAGCCATGTTTTGCCACAGTTTTGTTAACTTTATTGCTTTGGTACTTTGTTCATAGTTTTGTCTTCCTTGCTTTGTTACTTTGCTCTTAGTTTTGCCACAGCCTTGCTTTGAACCCATGTCTGCCATCCACTCCTTGTGAGTGCATTTTTGTTTCAATAAACCTTTTTCACATATCTCCATGCCTGAGTCCTCCACCAAGACCCACCTTCCTGACAACCACCCCCCCCCAGAGCACAGGCACCAAACTCAGGCTCTTCTGGGGGTTTTTGTGAGCTAACAGCTGGAGGCTTTCCTCAGGTCGCCTCTTCAGCTCTGCTCTCTGGTGTGAGACATCATTTTTCTGTGGTTATTGTCACGGTAACAGCCCCTGTGGGTTATTTTTAGACGTTTGCTAAATAAGCCTGATCTTGGCCCTTGATGCTCACCGTTTCTCTAGGGTGGTTGTGAATAAGGGGAAGCTGGAGGATGATGGCCGCCTGGTTAATTCCTGATAACTTTTTGCACCCGCTAACTTTTTTGCACCTTTTACTCTCCAGGTGTGCTTATGTGAGCCTGCTAGCTCCACAGAGTCCATCCTGAGTAGTTTGGCCATCTCAAACGTGTCTTTTCTGTCTCTAGAAAATGTTAATTTTTTTTTTTAGGTCTGATAAATATGCAGCTTTTCCTTTTAAACGTGAGTAAATGAAGCTGGTATTAACCAAACCACACAAAAATGCTTCAATTTACAGCCATAAGTCTCCACATTTAGATTTGAAGTCAGAATACTCAGTTGGCTGATGATTTTCACACCGGTAACGAGTCTAAAGAGGCGCTTTGAAATACAGAGAGATGAATAACAAGCAGTAAAGGAGTGTGAGAACAGCAACGTGTAAATTGGTGCTGAATTTATTCTCGAGACGGTTGGAAGGAGCTGAATGTCTTTTTCACAGTTCACAGCATTTCTGGGTCAAACAAACTTTTAAATCTGGTTTCCACTTTAGTGCCAAACACCAGGGAAAGGATTGAGGAGAGCAAACTTTTTTATGGTTGTTTTTGGAGCTAATATTTCATAGTTTCGAAACGTAGGACCAGATTATGTGTTTCTCTTTTGGCAAATAGCGAATGAGGGTTGTAGTTTCCACATGCCACTCTAATTTTTTGGCGTTGCTTGTGTGTGTGTGTGTGTGTGTGTGTGTGTGTGTGTGTGTGTGTGTGTGTGTATCTGAGGGTTTGAACATGGGTCCGAGCACACAGAGAGCTCTGTCCGCTGCAGATTTCAGTGTTTGTGGGTCACGCAAACCGGTGAGTTACCGGACAACATCCTTTATTGTCCTCCTGTGATAGCAGCCTGTCCAATCACAGGATCACAGGGTTCAAAAAGCACACACACACACACACACACACACACACACACACACGCTCATTCAATAACCCCTCCAATCCAGAAAGATTAAAACACTGGTTTGCTGAGTCTGTTTTCAACACAAAAAGATTCATAAGTCTAAAAAACCTGCGATTGAGGTTATTTTGACATGTAAATCCGAAGGTAATTTGGATTCTTCACTAGGGACCAATTGGTTCATTTCACCGGCTGAGTCCCGAATCCGTGCAGAGCCTTCACATGCACAAGTTGTTTTCCTTTTCTGGGAGTAACAGGACGATTAATGTGGAGTCTGAGGTTAAAATAGTCTGACCTGAGGGGTCACTGGAAGTCAAGATGTGACTCCATCATACTCAGGATGACAAACCTGGGAATATAAGTTTGTGTTTTTCCATATAGTTTGTCAGCTCAGACACGAATAACCACTTCTTCATTCACTTATCCAATAAAAAACGGATAAACAAAGGTTTCAAATGGGGAAGTTTAGTCCAGTTTATTACCATTATTCAGCTTTTTCTTTTCAGCATTTGGTTTTTTGTGTCGTAACATGCTGAAAAAGCCTGACGTATTTATCATGACTGTGTGTTTTACTCTCTTAAATGTGCAGGTGACCTGTCCCTGCAGAGGCTCTCGGGCTCCGTGCTCGACTTCAACAACACAAAGAAATGTCCCGGGGGGGAAAACAACATCCAGACCAGCATCAGCTTCCAGTGCGGGAAAACCATGGTGAGGCTCACAGGCAGCATGTTCTGGGAAGTAGGGTTGTCAAAAGTATCGATACTCGAAAAAGTATCGATACTAAAACGTTGTATCCGGATACGATACTCATTTTCAAAAGTATCGATACCACCCCCCCTTCTGTCTGATTTGTTTATGTATTTATTTACGTTGTTTATGATCATTAACAAGACGTTAGCCTTGCTAGCTGCGGCTAATGGCTAATAGTAACATGCTACCATTAATCAAGTACATATCCAACTCCGCCCACATCCAAGTCGGCCATTTGATTAGGTCACCAATAGGGAGATCCCAGGAAAGAAAATCCTAATTGCTTCATGACAATATAGACATTTATTTAAAAATAGTTAAATTAATCTTTCAAACACTTAATTAAACTCTATACATATTATGTTAAAATAGTGTAGGCTATATCAAATAGGTTTGTACAATAAGTCCAAACAAGTTTAACCAAAAAATATTTATTTCTCACAATTATGAAGGGTGCAGGGTTAGGGTTAGGATTAGGGTTAGGGTCATTAATGTGGGCCACCAGTCACGATAACATCAGGAACAGGTCAGTTTGAAATGAAAGACACAATTCAGTTAAATTTTGGGGTGTTTGTTTTTATTCTTGTGGTATCGAAAATGGTATCGAGTATCGAGTATTTTCCTGAGTATCGGTATCGAGTTGAAAATTTTAGTATCGTGACAACCCTACTGGGAAGATGCTTTTCTGAATGCGGCAGCCACAGGAATGAATGGAAAACAGTCGGATAATTCACCTGTGTGTGAGCGGACACCTGAAATATTCATCCTCCTCCTCATCGCCTCTACTATCCTAATAGATACAATAGATTTATGGGGAGAAACCAGAAGTTTAAACCCCTGATTTTGACCCACAGGTTCTGATCTGAAAGAGGAAGCTCAGTGTGACTCAACAGGTGTTACGTTTAGTCAGTTTTAACCAACAAAAATGTAGAAATTGACATGTTTAAATTAAGATTGAGTTTGTGACAGGACACGAAAAGAACGATTCAGCTTTACGACTGTTAACAAATATGAAAAAAATGAGAGGATCCTCAGCAAAACGAGAACCCGTCCTGATAGTTTTCAGAAAGAGTGATTCACTGAACTGAAAATAAAGCAACAGCACCATTTCTGCCTGTGGTCTCCTCCTCAGTGTTTCTGTGAGTGGAAATTAGCCGGCGAGAACTCACACTTCTGCTCGCTCATCTGTGGGAGACTTTGTGGTTTCAGGCCAAGCCTGACATTGACATTAAAACATCACTTCCTGTCAATTTACAAAGAACTTTTAGGTTTCAGAAGGCAAGAATGTCGTCTGTGATCTGTAGTTGAGAAGAAAAAGTGGCTTTGTACGAGCCCACAATAGAAGAAAATGTACATTCTTAATGGAAAATAAGCTGAACAGTCCAAAATGTTTATGTAAAAGTTCACTGCTTTCCTGTTACATGTGAAGGATACACTTTTTAAAATGTTTTAGAGCTAAAAAAGTCAATTTGAATTATACATTTTTTGGAAAAACATGCAGAATATTAATAACATGTAGTCAATTTCTCAGTTACACTGTTTCTACCAGACATTTGAACTCAATTCTAACTGTAAGATGCTTTTGTACATTTAATTTTTCTTTATTTGATTTTATTTCTACATTGAGATTTCTCTGCTTAAAGTGGAAGTGTTGGTTATTAATTTGAAAACGAAGGTGAAACTGCAACACTTCTTAGTTCAGAGAAACAAACCTGAAATAGGTGATTAAAGTGTGTTGGTTACATGTTTCCCGTGTTTTTTCAGAAGCAGCTTCACTTAGACAATCACCACGGAAAATATCACACCGTTTGAAAATAAATAATCAGGGGGAAGGTTTCGGTGGGGGGCTTAGACCTGGCTGTGCGTTCGTGTTTTAACACCTTTATTACTCACACTTGTGTGTTCCCACCACAGGGCACGCCGGAGTTCGTGGCCGTGTCTCAGTGCGTGCACTACTTCGAGTGGAAGACGTACGCCGCCTGCAAAAAGGACAAATTCAAGCCGCATAAAGAGGTATGTGGTGGAAACTGTCTCCACATCTGTGATCGGAAACAACGACACAGACCAGAAACGCGGTTTAATTTGGCGTTTACGGGTCGGCCTCCAGAGTTACTCGATTAACTCTATTACCCGGTTAATGTGAAGTAACTCAAGGAATGTTTAACCAGTATTTAACCCTTTAAAGCCCGATCCAAGAATAAAACTAAACAGAAAATTATTTTTTTTGTGTTTGAATTCCTTTTTTGGCCTTTTAATAAAATATGTAAAAAGACAAAACAGAAATACATTTTTGATATTAATAATTTATTACTATGCGATAAGTCAAGATTATTTTTTGTGTAGTCTTCTGCCCCCTGTTATCAGGTGTATCTGATTGTGTACAATAGGATTTTGAGCAAAGTTTTTACCATTAAATTATGCAAAAGCTGTCAGACGCAAAACATTTCAGAAACCGTACATATCAAATATGACACATTTGCCATTACAGGGTTAAGGCTCCTTCAGAAACAAATGAACCGATACACTGAAAAACTTTGTACTCATTTTTTTGCCGCCTTAAGAAATGTTGCGCTGCATATTTCTAGTTCAGCTACACTGTTTGAAATCTTTCTTTTCACGGTGTTGATGAGCTTCCTAAAGAATGTCCGTGTGTTGTTTTCCACCCTCCGCTGTGTCCAGGTGCCTTGCTACGTGTTTGATTCAGACGGTAAGAAGCACGACCTGAACCCCCTGATCAAAGTGAGCGACGGCTATTTGGTGGACGACGGCGACGACAACATCGACTTCTACATCAACATCTGCCGAAGTCTCAGTGAGTCCAGTGAGCGGGATCAGAATCAGAAATACTTTGATAGTCCCAGAGGGAAATTGGACGTGGATTTAGTAACTCTGGGATAGACGAGGGGAATCTGACTGACAAAAAACAAACAGAAAATTAGCCAGAATGCTTCTTATTCTCTGCTGTAATTGATACTATGTCTTATTTGCTCTTAAGGTTAAATAAAGTAAAAATGTTCAAAAAAATAATCAAATTGATATAATTTGGATATGAGGAAGTAGAGCCAAACCTGCCATAACTTTAAGACCATGGAGGGGAATTATTGCAGAATTATCACCATGAAGGAGCTCAGGTCAACTTATGCAAAAATTACTTTTCTAATGTCTTTAACTGAGTGTTGGCACAAGATTCTGTGGTCTCAAAGGCATAAATAAAATAGGAACATTTAATTGTTTTTGTGCCCAGATGAAGAAACCAAATAAGTCTATTGTATTATTTGGTCATTCTCAACCCTGAGGGCAGTATCCTCACATTATGGAGCTCAGGAATCCATTTTAACTCTTTAAATCATCAAGAGAAAAGGAGGAAATCTTCATGCATTTTCTGTCTGATGCTACACTCAATAATCTGATGGCGCTCTCAAACCTCAAATAGAGCTCCATATTGTTTGACAGTTCTACTCCTGCCTTTATCTAACGCCCCTTTTCCTGTCTTGCAGACAGTCCAGACCGGTCCTGTCCAGAGGACTCTGCAGCCTGCCTGGTCACCGGTCAGGGTTCCTTCAGCATGGGGTCTCCCACCGAGGGGCTGGAGCTGGTGTCCAGTGACAGGTACCCTCACCTGTTCAAAGCCCCTATCCTACTCTGTCTTGAGTAGGGATGGGGATCGAAACCCGGTTCTATCAAGGACCCGGTTCCACTTTTTTCAAAACCCGAAAATCAATACCGTTTGGGCTCATCGATACCACTATAGAGTCTGGTCGTTTTTTTTTTATTGTTAGAATAGTAATTGTGAAATCCGTGTTGTAATCGGCAGCATACAAGCTAGTTAGCTTGAAAAGTAAATAAAAGTTTCAGACGTGCTGCGTGATGATGTGTTCAGATTGGCTCAGTAAAACGACAATTAGGTTATCGTGATGCGTTCAAGTGTAACGTAAAGAAAAGGGAAATTGAGTGTTTGGCGAGAAACATGAGTAATACAGTAGTATATTGCTCTAATTATTTTAGAATATATAATTAAACTATTGATGCCAACATTTATTAAAAATTACATTTAATTTAAAATACAATTATTTATTTGCTAAATATTGTCGCATCGTCTTTCCACCAAATAACAGAAAAGTTTCGATAGTGGTATCGATAAAGACTTGGATCGATAAGGAGTATCGCTAAAAGTATCGATATCAATAAATATTAACGATCCCCATCCCTAGTCTTGAGGAGTCTAATATCACGTTAAACGAACCGTCACTGGACCCATTTAAATAGTTCAATGCTAGATTTGCGTTTCAGAATCATCAGAATCAGAAATACTTTAACTCATTGACTGCCAGAGTTTTTTGAGCATTTTGACTGATTTTTCAAGATTCACAGAAAAGTTTGTGCTATGACTATGTAAACACCGAACACACCAAAAGAAAGAGTAGACTCTCATCTTTCATCAGGAAAAAAATTTGTTTCTACCATATTCCGTTCTTCCTTGACTTGCGTCTCACCGGCGATATGTTCTCTCATATCGAACCGTTACCTTTTTCTTATTTGCCTACAGTCTATGCTCATCTCCCATCAAAAGTGGCACTGCCACCTAGAGGGTCAATTTGTTACTACATACTCTGTCTAGAAGCCTGATATTTACGGACAAGCTTTAGCAGATCGTCCCCCAGCCACTCTCGTTGAAAAACATAAAAGACGTCTATAGACGTCTTTGGCAGCCAATGAGTTAATAATCCCAGCGGGAAATTCTCCTGTCTCGTCCTCTCCAGCTTGAGGCTACAGTACAGACTGAGTCCCGGCTCGTCTCGTCCAGATCTCTGTAAAGAGCACGAGCCCGCCGTCACCATCACCTTCATCTGCCCGTCCAACAGACACTCGGTAGGTTACACACAAGGAATTTCTTACCACTCCTTAATTTGCTTTAAAGGAGACATATTATACCCTAATTCAACAAGTTAAACTAGTTCCCTGGTGTCCTAATGTAATGTCTGTGACAAGCTTTGGTCAAAATCCCATAAGGATGAAGCCCAATAGCAGTTCAGTCCCCCTGCCTAACCCTAACCCTAGCCCTAACCCTAACCCTGCCAAAACAGCCCCGTTCAGAGCACTCGCTTTGAAGTGCCTGTCTCTTTAAATGCAAATGAGACACAGGAAATCCACCCACTTCTTCAGGGAGGTGTGCCCACGTCGGCACGCTAACGCTACCATGCTAACGCTACCATGCTAACGTTCACGCTACCACGACGTCTCCACAGATAGGGGAGTAAGCTGAGGGGGGGGGCAACATGCAGGTGAAAGGCTGGGATATTATAATGAGCTAGAGCTAATGACGTCAGAAACTACCCACTCCTGAAACCTCCTGATTTATCTCCTGGATTCAGACTGAGGCAGCCCACAAAAACATGACTCATTTTCGAGTCATTTTTTTTCACACTTTGCCTGCTGATAGGCCCTCCACAGTCCCAAATGTAGATAATCAAATTATTAAAAACTTGGTTTTGCATAATATGTCCCCTTTAATCCTTTTTTTTGTTGCCTTTTCATGCTGTTAATTCTCCTTATTGCTGGTTTCCCAGGGCAGCGCCCCTAAGATGACAGCCGGCTCCAACTGTCGCTACGAGGTGGAGTGGGTGACGGAGTACGCCTGCCACCGGGACTATCTGGAGAGCCACAGCTGCAAACTGACCAGCGAGCAGCACGACATCTCCGTGGACCTGACGCCGCTCAGGCTGGCCAGTGAGTGGAATCAAGCCTCTCTAACCACCGTCTTACTCATTATTAACTCATTGACTGGCAGCCATTTTCAGAACAGAGAGTCCCATACTGCCACAGAATAGTTTGTGCTATGACTATGTAAACACCGAACACACCAAAAGAAAGAGTAGACTCTCTTCTTTCATCAGGAAAAAATATTAGTTTCTACCTTATTCCGTTCTTCCTCGACTTGCGTCTCACCGGCGACATGTTCTCTCATAGAACCGTTACCTTTTTCTTATTTGCCTACAGTCTATGCTCATCTCCCATCACCTAGAGGCTCAATTTGTTACTACATACTCTGTCTAGAAGCCTGATATTTACGGACAAGCTTTAGCAGATCGTCTCCCACTTCACTCTCGTTGAAAAACATAAAAGACGTCTATAGACGTCTTTGGCAGCCAATGAGTTAACGACACCAGGGCCTCTGTGCTCTTTTAAAGGGCTCTTATGGAGGAGCTCTTCAGCCCTCTGGGTGTTTTTCCCAAGTAAATGTTTTTTATTGGCAGCTTTTCTGCTCATTTTTCAGGCCAGGCGTTTTGTTTCAGTGCCTTTGCTCTAAGCTTTGCATTATTCAAGCTCAAAACGGCCTCAAACTCAAGAAAGATTCAACTTTTAGTTGCGTCTTCATGCACTTTGTTGCTGTCACAAAGGAACAGCTTCTCTGTAAGGCAAGGCCAGGCACGTTTATTTGTAAAGCACAAGACAACGCAAAGTGCTTCACAGAGAATTTAAAAGCAGAAAAACAAGAAAAGAAAAATGATAAAAATTAGACAGATGAGAAGTGAAGGGTGCAGATTCAGTTTTCACATGCACAGTTACATAGAAGCGTTTTCAGCCTGGATTTAAACATTTAGAGTTGAAATCCTGTCTCACTGATCCAGATTTTAGGAGCATGGAGCAGAAATGATGCTTCACCTTTTTTAGTTCTGACTCTGGGCCCCATCAGGAGACCACAACCTGGTTCTCAGAGTCCAGCTGGTTCATCTGGCTCTAACATGTCAGAAAGGTGTTTCGGTGCTCGACCATGAAGAGACTGGAACATTAGCAGAGCTGTTTTAGAGTCTGTTCTTTGAGAGACAGGAAGCCAGTGGAGAGATGTGAGAACTGGACTGATGTGGTCCTATTTCCTGGTTCTGGTAGCTCCCCTATAGCAGAAACATTAAAGCACAAACCTCAAACTTGGAGGAGGAAGTTTTTTGTGGAGGAACAGTTATGAGCTTCCTGCTTTTTCTGACTCGTGTTTGAAATAGACTAATTTTCCGATGACTGTCACAGCATCTGAAACATTTGTGTGTGTATGAAGCTGTTAGCCATAAGGAAACCGGCCTGAGGCTTAAGCTAACCAACCGGTCCTTTAGGAGCCCAAAGAGCTCGTATCTCCGTCCTATTCATAACTTTTGGCTGCTTATTAAGCAGGAGCTATAAAATGATCACCAAATGTTTTAGTTTCTCCTTTTTACTGAACCTGTTTCTAATACATTCACATCAATTTTACACTTATTTTCTACTATATGGGATAATAGAACTCATTTGCTGAAAGTTTACATTGTTTTTTTGATAGCTAAAATTGGATGTTTGGAAAACCGCTGACTGGTTCATGTCAAAGTTTAGGCAGGATGCTGTTTTGAAACCATTTCTGTGTTTTTAATGGCACCAAAAGGAGCTTTTTATGGAACTATCCATGGTCTTTGTAGTCTGACAGTATCACAGCTGCTTGTGGAATAATGTCTAACCCTGTTTGGATATTTACGTGTTTCCTGTTAGTGATATACAGACGTCTGTTCATCAGGATGAGGAATAAACAGGGCTAAATCCTCCTGTTCTGCTCTGTGTTTGTGCATCCAGCTTCAGACCACCCTTATTACGCCCACTCGGGGCCCAGCAGCGGGCCCGACAGCTACATCTACTACATGAACGTGTGCGGAAAGATCCCCACCTCCGAATGTGGAGAAGACCCCTTCATCTCGTCCTGCCAGGTGAAGGAGTCCAGAGACCTGACCAAAGTAGCCGGAAGATATCAGAACCAGACCTTACGGTAATACCTCCGTGTCTAACAGTGTTGGGTTAAGAATCTATACAATCCCTGTTTGATATTTTAGTCCTTTTTTGTGTATTTTCATTCATCCATGCTTGGTCTTTTACCTTAAAGGCTTTGAGCTCTCTCATATAAGCTTTATTCATTTTGTTTCAGGGCTTAAAATTGTGATGGCATGCTGCGTTCTGTCGGTGCAACAACTCCATTTTTTTATTTGCCTT